TCGTAAAACTTATTACATTTTCAAAGACTTTAGTTAACACATACACAACTGAATAGAACTTACACATCTCCGATTTTGTTTATATCTACATTTGAGTGAGGTGGATGGGGTGAGGTGGTATTTAATAAGGTATTAATTTCATCAACACAAGCCAGAACATGAAACAATGGGTATTGAATAGAAGTGATTGTAGAAAGCCTATTGGTCCATATTTCTTGATGCTTCTATATTGGAGCGGAGTCTTGAGGTGGGTAGAATATAGTTGTGCATTAATTGGCTGTTGATTGCTGGTGTTGACTTCTTGATGTGTAATGCCTCGCAAACCTCAAGCCGCCTGCTATCGCTGTATCTATCGATGATTTCTGTGTTGTTTACTAGGATTTCTCTGGCGCTGGTTTGGTTGTGGGAAGAGATTATATGTTCCTTAATGGAGCCCTGTTGCTTATGCATCGTTAAACGCCTAGAAAGAGATGTTGTTGTCTTGCCTATATACTGGGTTTTTTGGAGCTTACAGTCCCCAAGAGGGCATTTGAAGGCAAATGCTCTCAAATGCCTTCAAATACCCTCTTGGGGACTGTAAGCTCCAAAAAACCCAGTATATAAGCAAGACAACAACATCTCTTTGTTGTTGTCTTTGTCAACCAGGAAATCGCAACCCCCAACACAACAGTTCCAGAGACAAGAGGGGAACCCACAACCAGCATCCCAGCAGCAACAGAGGGGAGGGCAACACCACCACCCTCCTCTGCATAGAAACCCTCACTTCCCCTCATCCTACCTGCCCCCACCCAAATGCTCACTCAACCCTCCCTCCCCCCCCCCACCCCATTCTGAACCTATCACCCCTCCCCCATTCCCACCATGTCCCCCTACCACCTTTCCCCCCTCCCCCTTCATCCCATACCCTCCCTATCCCTCCTTCCCCTTATCCTGTATCCTCCATGTCCCCCCCCCTATCTCCTTAACCCACACCCTACCTGTCCCCCCTTCTCTTGCAACCCCACCCCCACCCCAAAAACCTCTGGGACCCTGCAAACCACCTCACAGATCTTCTCACCCAGGGAACAGCCTTCCCCACCAGCAGAATGCTCACCGAGAAGGGGACTTGAAGATAAACAGAAGAAAGTGAGCTTCAAGGCAATGTACACTAACATAGATGGGATTACAAATAAAGCAAATGAGCTTGGAGAATGGGTACTAGAGGAAAACCCAGACATAATAGCCCTCACAGAAACAAAGCTAACGAAAACGATAACAAATGCAGTGTTCCCATAGAACTATTATGTTATGAGGAAAGAGAAGGAAGGAAGAGGTGGTGGTGGTGTAGCTCTGCTGGTAAGAAATGGCTGGGATTTTGAGGAGATGGTTATTCAGAGCTGTGAAGGTTTCAGTGACTACATATCAGGCACCATAGCAACTGGAGAACAGAAAATTATAGTAGTAGTCATATATAACCCCCCACCGAACGACAGAAGACCCAGACAGGAATATGATAGAAACAACATGGCCACCATCAATATAATAGAGAGAGCAGCTTCTGTGGCTAACAGGAACAGATCCAGACATCTAATCATGGGAGACCTCAACCATGGGAAGATAAATTGGGTGAACAGAGACCCACATGGAGGACCAGACACATGGAGAGCTAAGCTGTTGGACGCGGCAACAAGAAACTTTCTAAGTCAACACGTCAAGGGACCGACAAGAATGAGAGGAGAGGACGAACCAGCCTTGCTTGATCTGATATTTATCGTAAATGAGTCGGGTATAAGGGAAGTTAAGTTGTAAGCCCCTCTGGGAATGAGTGATTATAGTGTATTGTGCTTTGAGTACCTGGTTGAGCTAGGACTCATCTCCCCCAAAAAAGAACTGGGAAACAATGGGCTGGCGTACCGAAAAGGAAACTATGAGGAGATGAATAGATTCCTTAGAGATATACAATGGGACACAGAACTCAGAACCAAGTCCGTACAAGACATGATGGACTATGACACCCAAAAGTGTCAGGAGGCTGTAAGCAGGTTTGTCCCGGTCCAACAGAAAAAAACAGAGACGCAAAAGAAAAATTCATGGTTTACTAGGAATGTATGAAAGCAAAGGAGCTGAACAAAAAAGCATAGAGGAACTTCCGTAATAACAGAACACCTGAAAGTAGAGAGAGATACCAGACAACCAGGAACGAGTATGTTAGTGTGAGAAGAGCAGCTGAGAAAAGGTATGAAAATGATATAGCTAAGAAAGCCAAGACCGAACCAAAACAATTACACAGTCACATCAGGAGGAAGACAACAGTGAAGGAACAGGTGATGAAACTTACGATGGGTGAGGACAGGTACACAGAGAATGACAAAGAGGTGTGTGAGGAACTCAACAAAAGGTTCCAGGAGGTCTTTACAATAGAACAAGGAGAAGTCACGGCGCTAGGAGAGGTGGCAGCAAACCAGGCGACCTTGGAAAGGTTCGAAATTACAAGAGATGAGGTCAAGAAGCACCTATTGGAGCTGGATGTGAGAAAAGCTGTTGGGCCGGACGGAATCTCACCATGGGTATTGAAAGAGTGTGCAGAAGCACTTTGTTTGCCACTCTCCATAGTGTACAGTAGGTCACTGGAAACGGGAGACCTACCAGAAACATGGAAGACGGCTAATGTAGTCCCAATATACAAAAAGGGTGACAGACAAGAGGCACTGAACTACAGGCCAGTGTCCTTGGCTTTTATACCAAGCAAGGTGATAGAGAAGATTGTGAGGAAAAACCTAGTAACACATCTGGAGAGACGAGACTTCGCCACAACCCATCAACATGGGTTCAGGGAGGGTAAATCTTGCCTTACAGGCTTAATAGAATTCTACGATCAGGTGACAGAGATTAAGCAAGAAAGAGAAGGACGGGCGGACTGCATTTTTTTGGACTGTCGGAAAGCCTTTGACACAATACCCCATAAAAGGCTGATGCATAAGTTGGAGAAACAGGCAGGAGTAACTGGTAGGGCGCTCCAATGGATAAGGGAGTACCTAAGCAATAGGAAGCAGAGAGTTACAGTGAGGGGTGAGACCTCAGATTGGCGTGAAGTCACCAGTGGAGTCCCACAGGGCTCTGTATTCGGACCTATCCTGTTTCTGATGTACGTAAATGATCTCCCAGAGGGTATAGTCTCATTCCTCTCAATGTTTGCTGACGACGCCAAAATTATGAGAAGGATTAAGACAGAAGAGGACAGCTTGAGGCTTCAAGAAGACCTGGACAAGCTGCAGGAATGGTCGAACAAATGGAAATTAGACTTTAACCCAAGCAAGTGTATTGTAATGAAGATAGGGGTAGGAAGCAGGAGAGCAGATACAAGGTATCATTTGGGAGAGGAAATACTTCAGGAGTCAGAGAGAGAGAAAGACTTGGGGGTTGATATCAGGCCAGACCTGTCCCCCCTGAAGCTCATATCAAGAGAATAACATCAGCGGCATATGCCAGGTTGGCTAACATAAGAACGGCCTTTAGGAAACTTGTGTAAGGAATCTTTCAGAGCATTATATACCACATATGTCAGACCAATCCTGGAGTATGCGGCTCCAGCATGAAGTCCATATCTAGTGAAGCATGAGACTAAACTGGAAAAGATTCAAAGGTTTGCTACCAGACTAGTACCCGAGCAGAGAGGTATGAGCTACGAGGAGAGACTACGGGAATTAAACCTCACTTCGCTGGAAGACAGAAGAGTTAGGGGGGACATGATCACCACATTCAAGATTCTGAAGGGAATTGATAGGGTAGATAAAGACAGTCTTTTTAACACAAAGGGAACACACACAAGGGGACACAGGTGGAAACTGAGTGCCCAAATGAGCCACAGAGATATTAGAAAGAACTTTTTTAGTGTCAGAGTGGTTGACAAATGGAATGCATTAGGGGGTGATGTGGTGGAGGCTGACTCCATACACAGTTTCAAATGTAGATATGACAGAGCCCGATAGGCTCAGGAACCTGTACACCTGTTGATTGACAGTTGAGAGGCGGGACCAAAGAGCCAGAGCTCAACCCCCGCAAACACAACTAGGTGAGTACAACTAGGTGAGTACACACCGTGTCAAACACAGCACTAAGCTGGAAAAAATTCAGAGGTATGCCACTAGGCTAGTCCCAGAACTAAGAAGCATAAGTTGCGAGGAAAGGCTGCGTGAAATGCACCTAACGTCGCAGGAAGATAGGATAGCTCGGAGAGACATGATCACTACCCACAAAATTCCAAGAGGAATCGACAGGGTAAATAAAGAAAATTTTTTTAACACGGGTGGTACGCGAACAAGGGGAATCTGTACACCGGTGGTACACAGGTGGAAACTGAGTACCTAAATGAGCCACAGGGACATAAGAAAGAATTTTCTCAGTGTCAGAGTAGTTAACAGATGGAATGCATTAGGCAGTGATGTGGTGGAGGCTGATTCCATACAGTTTTAAATGTAAATATGATAGAGCCCAGTAAGCTCAGGAATCTGCACACCAGTTTATTGACCGGCCAAAGGGACCAAAGAGCCAGAGTTCAACCCCCGCAAGCACAACTAGGTGAGTATACTCACACACGCATATACACGCACATGCTCACACACAAAATACGTGTGTGCATGTGTCAAAGGAGAATGACAAATAAGTGTGTGAAAAACTCAACATGAAATTCCAGGAGGTCTTCACAATTTAACGAGGTAAAATTCCTGAGGTAGGAGAGGTGGCAGTAAACCAGGCGACCTTCGAAGGGTTCGAATTTACCAGAGATGAGGTTAAGAGGCATCTGTTTGATCTAGACGTGAGAAAGGCTGGGAGTCCGGACGAAATCTCACCATGGGTACTGAAAGAGTGTGCAGAAGTACTTTGCTTACCACTGCCAGGTAAGTCACTGGAGACGGGAAACTTACCAGATATATGGAAGACGGCTAATGTAGTCTCTTGTACAATAAGGGTGACAGGAAAGAGGCACTGAACTATTGGCCAGTGTCTTTAACTTTTATACCATGCATGATGATGGAGGAGAACGTGAGAAAAAACCTAGTAGCATATCTGGAGCGCAGGGACTTCGTGACACACCAGTAACTTGGGTTCAGGGAGGGTAAATCTTACCTCACTGGTTTAATAGAATTCTACGATCAGGTGACAAAAATTAAGCAAGAAAGAGAAGGTTGGGCAGACTGTATTTTCTTGCACTGTTGGAAAGCCATTGACACAGTACCACATAAATGTCTGGTGCATTAGTTGGAGAAACAGGTAAGAGTAACAATAAGGGAGTAGCTATATGGTGAGGGGTGAGACCTCAGATTGGGGTGAAGTCACCAGTGGTATCTCACAGGATTCAGTAATCGAACATATCTTGTTTCTGATATTCGTAAATGATCTTCCAGAGCGTGTAGACTCATTCCTCTCAATGTTTGCTGAGAATGACAAATTTATGAGAAGGATTAAGACAGGACAACAGGTCTTCTTGAAACCTCTTTTTGAGGCTTCAAGAAGACCTGGACAAACTGAAAGAATAGTCCAACAAATAATTGTTAGAGTTTAATCCGAATAAATGTAATGTAATGAAATAGGTGTAGGGAGCAGGAGGCCAGATACAAGATACCATTTGGGAGAGGAAACTGTTCAAGAATCAGAGTGAGAGAGAAAAAGACTTGGGGGTTTATATCACGACAGACCTGTCCCCCGAAGCCCACATCAAAAGGATAACATCAGCGGCATATGCCAGGTTGGCCAACTTAAGAACGGCCTTTAGAAACTTGTGTAAGGAATCATTCAGAACTTTTTATTCTACATGTTTCAGACCAATCATGAAGTATGCGGCTTCTGCATGGAGTCCATATCTTGTGAAGCATCAGACCAAATTGGAGAAGATTCAGAGGTTTGCCACCAGACTAGTACCCGAACTGAGGGGCATTAGCTATATGAAGAGACTAAGGATTTAAACCTCACGTCGCTGGAAGACTGAAGAGTTAGAAGGGACATGATCACCATATACAAGATTCTCGAAGGATTTGATAGGGTAGACAAAGACAATTTATTTAACACAAGGGGCACACGCACTAGGGGACACAGGTGGAAATTGAGTGCTTAAATGAACCATAGGAAAATTCTTTTAGTATCAGAATAGGTAATAAATGGAATACATTAGGAAGTGATGTGGTGGAGGCAGACTTTATACACAGTTTCAAGTGCAGATATGATTGAGCCCAATAGGCTCAACTAGGTGAGTACACACACACACACATACATAGCTCATTTGTATTGAAATTACCAAGCTTTCAGTTATAATGGGAACTTTTACTGAAAACACTTAAATCTCTATAACAATTATATTTAATAGTATTCTCCAAGTTGTTAGACTACCCAACCCTACCTAATCTTATCAAGGGTTTAAGAATATACATTTTATAACTTGTATTAATATTATTATTTTACATTCTACTTTTTAATAAAATTACAAGGGGGGGGGGAACACAATAATTGTAAGGTAATCTGAGCAATTGCAAGGTGACGTGTGTAGCGAGGTTACTGGTAAAGCAGTTCCGCAGCCATTCTCAGAGTAGTTAATTCCTACACAGCAACACCATTTATGACAACTGTAGCAAGATAGTGTAATATATTACACAGGTAGTTATGGTACCTCTGGCAACTCAGCGAGATCAGCCCATGATCAGAGATACTCTCATTCTCATACCTCGAAAATTCAACAAAAACACACCTACAGCTGTAAATCATTGATTACGCAGTGCTGAGTTCTACCTTAATAGCCACCCAAATATCGTACCGCAATTCTTGCATCTGGCAACTCAACTGGGAACTGGTCACTTTATTATTTGGGTAAATATTCCTGGACCTCGTAAAACACAATCACACAATATTTCACACAACACAATATTTCTCCACAAATTAGCTAATTCTTTTCCAAACTAACAGTTGCGTATACATACATATGTATGGAGAGAGCGTTGCGGCTGAGTGGACAGCGCTCTTGGGTGGTAGTCCTAAGGGCCCAGGTTCGATTCCCGGTCGAGTCGGAAACAAATGGGCAGAGTTTCTTTCACCCTCACGGGTCTGTTCACCTAACAGTAAATAGGTACCTGGGAGTTAGATAGCAGCTACGGGCTGCTTCCTGGGGATATGTGTGTGTGTGCGTGTGTTAGAAATATTTGTAGTAGATATAACAGAGGAAAAATAGATCGGTTAGAAAGGCGGGGTCCAAGAGCTAATAGCTCGAATCTGCAGACACAAACAGTAAATAAAAATTGTAAAATACTTACGTACATACATCTTTCATACATACATACATACATCCATGCATACATACATACACACATACAAAAACATTATCAATAGCCCATTTTTTTGCCAATGTTACCTCTATTTAGTTGGATGTAATTGATTCATTCGTAAACCGTTGAAATTATGGGCCAGATTCTAGCCAAAAATGAGGTTAACATTCATCCCAATAATCTTTCAGTTCTTAACATCCATAATATTTAAGCATATCAATCGGCAAGTTAAGCTCTATTGACATACCAGAAAACATTCTAAGGAAACTACTCCAAGCTTGTACTAAAGAGGCACCCTTCTTGAGCCCGGATGGACACATGTATAAACAAGTAGATGGGGTCGCCATGGGTTCTCCCCTAGGTGTCCTGTTTGCAAACTTCTACATGGGTACCATCGAGCAAAAAGTCTTAGTCGACATGAACTTGAAACCGGCCATATACTGCAGGTATGTTGACGACATTTTTACACAGGTACCTGATGTCAGACATCTGCAGGAGCTGAAGGAGGCATTTGAGCAGAATTCTGTGTTGCGTTTCACTTACGAGATGGAGAAGGATGGGAAGCTGCCCTTTCTAGATGTAACAGTCATGGAAAGGAGCGGAGTTTTCCACACTGCAGTCTACACTAAGGAAACAAACATAGGAATGTGCCTGAATGCCAACAGTGACTGCCCGGACAGGTACAAGAGGAGTGTTGTTAACGCTTATGTCGACCGTGCTCTCAGCCACAGCTCAGAATGGAAGCAAGTCGACGAAGAACTCTGTAGGGTAAGGCAGGTCCTAGTCAACAACGGCTTCTCCAATGGTTTCGTGGAAGACATCATAAGAAGGAAAGTGAAACGCCATGCAACCTCTGAAGAGACATCTAACACAACACCTATACCCCCTATTAGACTATTTTACAGGAACTTCTTTTCCACAGCCCATAAAATGGAGGAAAGGGTCCTGAAAGATATTGTTAGTAGAAACGTTATCCCTACAGACAAAAATCAGAAGATACAACTGACAATTTACTATAAAACCAAAAAAACGGCCAGCCTACTGAGAAACTCTCCAGACACAAAGCAGAACGCTTTAAAAGAGACCAACGTCGTCTATGCCTTCAAATGCCCTCTTGGGGACTGTAAGTCTCAAAAAACTCAGTATATAGGCAAGACAACAACATCTCTTTCCAGGCGTTTAACGATGCATAAGCAACAGGGCTCCATTAAGGAACATATAGTCTCTTCCCACAACCAAACCATCACCAGAGAAATCTTAGCAAACAACACAGAAATCATCGATAGATACAGCGATAGCAGGCGGCTTGACATCTGCGAGGCACTACACATCAAGAAGTCAACACCAGCAATCAACAGGCATTTAATGCACAACTATATTCTACCCACTTCAAGACTCCGCTCTAATATAGAAGCATCAAAAAATATGGACCAATAGGCTTTCTACAATTACTTCCATTCAATACCCATTGTTTCGTGTTCTGTCTTGTGTTTGAATTTAATACCAATTCAATACCCATTGTTTCGTGTTCTGTCTTGTGTTGGAATTTAATACCCATTGAATACCCATTGTCGAAAGTTCGTTTTTCACCTCATCCACCTCACCCAAATGTAGATATAAACTTCGAAGATGTGTAAAGCTCTATTCAGTTTCAGTTGTGTGTTTGTAAACTAAAGTCTTTGAAAATGTAATAAGTTTTACGAAACGCGCTCAAGTGTCGCGTCAGACTAGAAATAAAAATGAATTTTGGAGAATTGATCTTTGAATTACCATCAACAGTGAAGAGAAACATAAGAAAGATAGAGAAAATTCGTGTTTGAATTATTAATCTTACTTTTTCGGTCATATTTATTAATATATGTCTACAGGAAAGACTGCTACCAAAATATACAAATATATATATATATATATATATATATATATATATATATATATATATATATATATATATATATATATATATATATATATATATATATATATATATATGTCGTACCTAGTAGCCAGAACTCACTTCTCAGCCTACTATTCAAGGCCCGATTTGCCTAATAAGCCAAGTTTTCCTGAATTAATATATTTACTATAATTTTTTCTTATGAAATGATAAAGCAACCCTTTTCTCTATGTATGAGGTCAATTTTTTTTTATTGGAGTTAAAATTAACGTAGATATATGACCGAACCTAACCAACCCTACCTAACCTAACCTAACCTATATTTATAGGTAAGGTTAGGTTAGGTAGCCAAAAAAAGCTAGGTTAGGTTAGGTTAGGTAGGTTAGGTAGACGAAAAAACATTAATTCATGAAAACTTGGCTTATTAGGCAAATCGGGCCTTGAATAGTAGGCTGAGAAGTGCGTTCTGGCTATTAGGTACGACATATATATATATATATATATATATATATATATATATGTCGTACCTAGTAGCCAGAACTCACTTCTCAGCCTACTATTCAAGGCCCGATTTGCCTAATAAGCCAAGTTTTCCTGAATTAATATATTTACTATAATTTTTTCTTATGAAATGATAAAGCAACCCTTTTCTCTATGTATGAGGTCAATTTTTTTTTATTGGAGTTAAAATTAACGTAGATATATGACCGAACCTAACCAACCCTACCTAACCTAACCTAACCTATATTTATAGGTAAGGTTAGGTTAGGTAGCCAAAAAAAAGCTAGGTTAGGTTAGGGTAGGTAGGTTAGGTAGACGAAAAAACATTAATTCATGGAAACTTGGCTTATTAGGCAAATCGGGCCTTGAATAGTAGGCTGAGAAGTGCGTTCTGGCTATTAGGTACGACATATATATATATATATATATATATATATATATATATATATATATATATATATATATATATATATGTATATATATATATATATGTCGTACCTAGTAGCCAGAACGCACTTCTCGGCCTACTATGCAAGGCCCGATTTGCCTAATAAGCCAAGTTTTCCTGAATTAATTGTTTTTCATCTACCTAACCTAACCTAACCTAACTTTTTCGGCTACCTAACCTAACCTAACCTATAAAGATAGGTTAGGTTAGGTAGGGTTGGCTAGGTTCGGTCATATATCTACGTTAATTTTAACTCCAATAAAAAAAAATTGACCTCATACATAATGAAATTGGTAGCTTTATCATTTCATAAGAAAAAAATTAGAGAAAATATATTAATTCAGGAAAACTTGGCTTATTAGGCAAATCGGGCCTTGCATAGTAGGCCAAAAAGTGCGTTCTGGCTACTAGGTACGACATATATATATATATATATATATATATATATATATATATATATATATATATATATATATATATATATATATATATATATATATATATATATATATATATATATTAAATATGACCGAAAAAGTAAGATTAATAATTCTAACACGAATTTTCTCAATCTTTCGTACATTACGCTTCACTGTTGGAGGTAAATCAAAAATCACTTCTCCAAAATTCATTTTTATTTCTAGTCTGACGCGACACGGGCGCGTTTCGTAAAACTTATTACATTTTCAAAGACTTCACAAATACACAACTGATTAGAACTTACGTATCTCTGCTATTATATCTACATTTGAGTGAGGTGGGAGGGATGATGTGGCATATAGTGACGTGGCATTAACACAAGACAGAACATGAGGGGATATTAATAGGGTATTAAAAGTATCAACACAAGACAGAACAGAAACAATGGGTATTGAATAGAAGTGTTTGTAGAAAGCCTATTGGTCCATATTTCTTGATGCTTCTATATTGGAGCGGAGTCTTGAGGTGGGTAGAATATAGTTGTGCAATAATTGGCTGTTGATTGCTGGTGTTGACTTCTTGATGTGTAGTGCCTCGCAAACGTCAAGCCGCCTGCTATCGCTGTATCTATCGATGATTTCTGTGTTGTTTACTAGGATTTCTCTGGCGATGGTTTGGTTATGGGAAGAGATTATATGTTCCTTAATGGAGCCCTGTTGCTTATGCATCGTTAAACGCCTAGAAAGAGATGTTGTTGTCTTGCCTATATACTGGGTTTTTTGGAGCTTACAGTCCCCAAGTGGGCATTTGAAGGCATAGACGACGTTAGTCTCTTTTAAAGCGTTCTGTTTTGTGTCTGGAGAGTTTCTCATGAGTAGGCTGGCCGTTTTTCTGGTTTTATAGTAAATCGTCAGTTGTATCCTCTGATTTTTGTCTGTAGGGATAACGTTTCTATTAACAATATCTTTCAGGACCCTTTCCTCCGTTTTATGAGCTGTGGAAAAGAAGTTCCTGTAAAATAGTCTAATAGGGGGTATAGGTGTTGTGTTAGTTGTCTCTTCAGAGGTTGCATGGCTTTTCACTTTCCTTCTTATGATGTCTTCGATGAAACCATTGGAGAAGCCGTTATTGACTAGAACCTGCCTTACCCTACAGAGTTCTTCGTCGACTTGCT